ACATGCACCCCATATGCCTTATCAATATAATAACACAGACTGTACAATACTGTATTACAATCGTGTAACAATATTAAGATGCATACTACCACATGAATAATACTTATGGCTAAGGAAATCCAGTGCTTCTGATAACAATTGCCGATTTTACCATTTCCTGACCGCTTAGCGACTACAGCAATGAGAATGCAACAACAGCCAGAGGTCCATGACACGGTAGCTGACAGCGTAGTCGATTGTCACGTAACCACAGGAAATCCTGTTATTTTGGCGTACGCTTTCCCTTTTGAAACGTACAATGCTTGTCTTTCTTATGCTCATGCTCAATCTCCACTTCCATGCATGTAGGATGTTTTCATCACTTGAAGACTGTCAGTCTTCAGTCATGCAGAAACACTTCAACGTTAACATCATCGATCTGTGTTCCACAGCTGTTTCAATTATGTTGCAGGATCGTTGATATATATTGCAATATACAATGTAGGAGATGAGGTGCATCCTTATTTTACACCCGTCTTGATACCTTTTTTCATGCTTGTTAACGTGCACAGTGCATAAAACGTTGTCATACAGTGATCTGATGGCTTGTATAATATTCCCTGAGATGTCTTATTCCATTAGTTTGACTATAGCAGAGTCAAAGGCCCTTTGAAGTCTTTGAATCGGGTAAGTGTTTTTACATATTATTATTGTTATTAACAACACTACAAATACTATAAACATGGTCTGAACAAGATCGCCCTGTTCTGAATCCTTTCTGTACGTCTACAAGGATATCCAAGACTTCAAGATACTGGAATAGACTCTGGTTTATGACACAGGCGTAGATCTTGGAGGGGATGGATAACATGGTAAGTGGTCTGTAGCTCAAGGGATCACGTGGGTCACTATCCTTACTATGCTTCGGGATTGGTTTTGCCTCGGTTACACATGCTTGAGTGGAACATGTGTGACATAATGTAAATGTACATCATTAAACACGACACTTATATTATTGAGTCCTGTTGCCTTTCCCTAGTGGTTCTCATTTGGCGTTTTCTCTTCTCTGAGGTAATCGTTGAATCAACGATTGGGTTTTTCATATAGTTTGATCATTGATGGGTATAGTGGCTCGTTTGGCATAGTGCCTGGAATCTGGAAACATGGCGCAAGATCCAGTTATTATTAAACATATTTTATTGTCCTAAAAGACAAAGGGTTGAGCACAAGTGCAACACTTTTTACCGCCATATCCCTATATACAGTTAAACATAATATTGCAAAATGGAAATGAAAGTTTACAATTGAAGTTTGACATTGTAGAAACATAGTGCACAATATATATACAGTGAACATATGAAGGATATATACAATGTGCTGGAAAGTGAAGACAGTGTGCATCTCATACATATGCAAATATTATACATTTTAATGTTTATCTATAAACTTAGCAATATTAATGATTAACAATTTGGAAACAATAATATGCTAGCTACTGAATCTGTCAGTCGTTTCTACAAATTTGTGTACAGACAAGAATAATTTTGTATTCAGGAAAAGATTAAGGTTTGGGTCACCAAAAAGAATACTATTTAGAGTTATGTGTCATCCAAGATTATCTATAGCTGTCAGTCATCATCACAAAAGGTACATTCGAAGAAGAAATGGAATGAATATTTACAAGGAGCTCCGCATTTACAGGAAATAGTATTAGATAAGTGAACACGAAACAGATCGGAATTTAGTGTGCTACAATTGTGTCTCAATCTAGTGTACAATATGTTTGTAGATTTCTTACAACAATAAAAGTGCATAGGTGGTGATGTGGGCTGTTCAGATGCGACTGCTTTAAAAGACGATATTGACGAACTATCCCTTATTTCTGATGATAGATTATTCCATTGGCCTTATGTGTCGATAACATAAGAGTGAGTGAGTTAAAGTTTAACGTCACATCGGCAATATTTCAGTGACGAAACAAAATTTGACATTAACAATATATTTTAAACTGTATAAAATTCTGCCAATGAAGGGCAGTATAATAACTAGAATATCACAGATTTACATAAAACTAGTTAGAGAGCATCTAAAAATATATTATCATTTTGCAACACAATATAAAAACAGGCTATAGATCGCCAACAACTGAAGGTAGATCACCACGCTAGGGTCCATGGGGACTTACAGTACTTTTGCTACCTGCATGGACCCCAGCAGGATTTACACCATCCCTTCAGTGGTTGGCGAATATTGTCAATTTAGCCGAATTAAAAGAACATATATTCTGCGATCAAAAACGTGGTAGTAATAAATATACTGTGAATGACGTGGATCTCCGGGGGACAATCCTTTTACACTACTTCAACCCCCTTCGAGGTACAGCCACTGACAATCTTAGTTATCCAATTTATTCTACCAATATTAAAAGATCATATATTAATTACATAACACATTTATCAAAATTTATGTACAAGTTCTATTTCTTTTAAAAGACTAAGGATTAAATGAGAGCTGATATTGTTAAACAGATCCTTTAACGATGAAACTTTGAAATATTTATCCCTTGTGATAGAAAAATCAATACAGTCAAGCAAGACATCGGCCTTTGTGTTACCAATGATTCCAACATGGCTGGGTAACCAACGAAAAACGATGTCGTATTGGCCTGTAGCAAGTTGATTATATAATTCAATAATTTCAATTAAAAGTGGATGCTTACATGATATATTTTTAATAGCATGAAGACACGAGGGAGTAAGGAAAATAATATAAATTGCTTATGCCTAGTTTTTTTACCAATATATTTTATGGCTGTTAAAATTGCATGGGATTAGGCTGTAAAAATAGAACTATTATCGGGTAGTCGTGAAGACATAATCCTAGATCCAACGACGGTCACCATCTTTGGATCCCTCTGTGAATATAGATTTAAATGTGTTATATGTGTTCCGCAATTCATTAAATTCTTGTTGATAGATGAGTTGGTTTGTTTCTGATTTCTTAAACTTAGTTAATGACAGGTCAATCTCTGGCTCTACCAACTGCCATGGGGGAGAGGTCAAAAATAAGTTGGAGCTATATTTTTAAGATTAATTTTGGCAGCAGAAATGTAAGATTTGATTCGTAGACCAAGTGAAGGAATTAAGGATTAAAAATGCAATCATATGGAGGATAAGTAGGATTTGAATAGAGCTTTGTGAGGTATTGCAATGAGAGTTTTATTCGACGTTGTTTTAGTGAGGCCTCTACATACAGACTATTGATGGGGGATGTTCTGAGGGCTCCATGGCAAAGCCTCAGGCCTTGATGATGAATACTATCTAATAATTTTAAATTACTTTTGCAGGCTCCACCATAGATGATGGAGCCATAATCCAGTTTAGAGCGGATAAGTGCCCTGTACAGATGAAGGAGGGTTTTCTGAACCCCTCCCCACTTTGAATTTGAAACGACTTTCAGAAGGTCCAGAGCTTTCAGGCAATTATTTTTCAAATATTTGATGTGTGGTAAAAAGGTTAAATTGTGATCAAAAATAATCCCCATGAATTTAGCCTTTTATTTTTACAACTTTAATTGGAGTGCTTTTTAAAACTAAATCAGGGTCGTAAGGAGGTTTATATTTTCTACAAAAAATAGATACAATTTGTTTTTGAATTTAAAACCATTTTCCAACGACCATTTATTTATCTTATTTAGACACAGTTGCAATTGTCTTTCTATAGTATGCATGTTTTTACCACAACATGATATGTTAAAATCATCCACAAAAAGTGATCCATCAATTGAACGATAACATAAGACCTTATAAACGTAGATGTCCATGCAAATGGTACTTCAAAATCATGTCCGTGTCTGAGATTATATCTGACGTTCTGTGACACAGATGGTGGTATAAGATCAGTTACATATGAAGGACATTGCTTATTTATTATTTTATACATAGTTACAAGTTTGCTGACGTTTCATCTATACGCTAAAGGCTACCATACAGTTTCGTGATACAGGCTGCGACGGGAGGAATACTTAGTTAATTCTGTTACTATTCTAGCTATTCTACTATTCTATTATACATATGGAGTTTTCAATATATATATATATATATATATATATATCTGGAGATGATATGCCAATGCTAGTATCATCTGCGAACAAACATTCATGGCATATATCATTAATTTAAATAAAAAATAATAATGGACCAATGACTGACCCCTGAGGGACGCCAGCGTGTAGAATTTGTTCACTGGAGAGACAGCCGTTAACATTTACTTTTTGGCCAATATGTGAACTGCATTAGATCGGGAGTGGCAGTTGATACATCTAAATCGCATAAGGCAAAGAAGGGTACATGATAAGAAAGGTACATGCATCAATATTTGTGTTTTTGTGAGTCAGGAGACTCATCTTTCAGATGAAATTTAGTTTGGCATCTTATCTCAGATGAGACGGGAGATAGTAAGTCCAGAGGGTGCTTAATTAGGTTTTCTGTGTATGTTAACACGAAATTACTGTATATATTAGGTAATGCATCTTGATATTGTAGCATCGTCCTAAACATTCGAATATGTTTTACATCAGAAACATATGGTCCTTTACTCTTAGACGTATTTAGAACATCACCAACATCAAACATATGCCCTACAGATTATACATAGATGACCATTTCTTGCTAGTTTCAAATGTAACACTGACCTAAACTAAGTATACATATATACAAAGCAGCCCATCGGCTGGTGTAATCAAGTTGTCTTAATGTTCCCTGTCAGTCGCCCTTCATCGTAACAGTTTATTTTATATGAACACATCTAATGCCTATTTCTGTTGATACATGACAAGGTCATCTTCTATTTCTAATTGAGATGTTTCAAGTGTTGTCAGCACCATACCCGTGCACGTGGGTTTCGCTGAACTGGAGAACATCTAAGACCTGCATCACTTCGAGCTTTCCTCCCACATTAAGCTGACACGCCGCGATATAACTGGAATACTGTTAAAAGCGGCGTTAAACTCACTCACTCACTCACTCACTCACTCTAATTGAGAACATATTTGTGCATCCCTTACTCCAGAAGCTCTTTAATAATGGCACGACGATTCCCATTTTCAACATATTCAAGAGCTGTCCGTCCTTTGTGATCCTGAATACTGGGGTCCATGCCTTTCTCAATAAGCTGTGCAACACAGTCAGTGAGTGCTTTCATGTGAATATTGTAAAAATACTTCTTGTATACGATATTCCCCTCACACATAGATTTGAAAACATGAACTGCATAGTGAAAAGCTGTCTGTCCTTGGTGGTCTTGTATAGATGGGTCACTGGTTTTCTGAAGAATATTTGCAAAAATGCCTCTGTGTAGTTTCTTTGTAGCGCAATGAAGAACAGTCCTGCCCTCATTATCTTGTATGCTTGGGTCAATGTCCTTCTGTAGGAGTTGTTTGACACACTCGATATTTCCCTTTTCAGCTGCATAGTGAAGTGCTGTCATGCCTTGCTGATCTTGCATACAAAGACTAACACCATATTCAATAAGTAGAGTCATAGTTTCACGTTTGCCAGCCCATGCAGCATGGTGGAGGGCTGTCATGCCCCTGTCATCTTTGATATTGACATTATTGCTACTTTCTAAGAGTACTTGGGCAGTTTGCTTGTAACATGTGTCTTGTACAACAAAATCGCTATCAGATCCCCCTGTTGCATAGTGAAGTGCTGTTTTACCCAGCCCATCTTGTATATTTGCGTCAACACCTTTTAATAAAAGCGCCTTAACACTGTCCAATGTTCCTTTCATTGCAGCATAGTGAAGGGCTGTCCTACCACTTAGGTCCACTACGCTGGGATTCGCCCCTTTATGGATTAACAGTTTCAGAATGTCACTCTCTTTTCTCTCTGCAGCATAATGAAGTGCCACCTTTCCCTGTCTATCCTGTTCGTTTTTGTCGCAACCTTTCTCTAAGAGCAACGCAACATCGTCAGTTATTCCTTCCTGTGCAGCATAATGAAGAGCTGTCCCGCCAGTGTTGTCTTTTACAGCCAGGTTAACACCCTTTTCTAACAGCAATTTTACGCCACCACTATTCAAACTGCATGCAGCATAATGGAGAGCAACCTTTCCTGTTTCATCTTTGATGCTTGGGTCAACACCCATCTCCAGGAGAAGGTGAATTGTCTCTTCACATCCTGTCTCAGCAGCGTTGTGAAGGGCTGTTCTCCCTGTGTGGTCTTTCAATAGGTGATTGACACCTTTTTGAAACAATAGTTTTATTAAATTGATATTTGTATGTAATCTTGCCGCATAGTGAAGTGCTGTTCTCCCCTTTCGATCTATGATAGTTGGAACAGCTCCTTTTTCCAGCAGTAGTTTCCATGTGTATTCTGACCATGCATAAAACCATAACGTTTGGCCCTCACTGTCAAGTAAGTTTGGGTCTGTCACTTTATCGAAGAGCAGTGCAATGTTCTGGACATGTTCACGTTCTATTGCACATGAAAGTGCTGTCATACCCTGTTGGTCTTGTACGTTTGGATCCACACCTACATTTAGGAGCATTCGTACATAAACGTTATCCACCACTGCAGCAACGTGGAGGGCTGTTCTCCCTTTATTATTTTGAAGCATTGTGTCTATGCCTTCCTCTAAAAGCAACTCAACCGCTTTCATCCCGCCATGACTTATAGCAATGTGAAGGGCTGTCTGTCCTTCCTTATCCTGCGCGTTTATATCTACATCTTTTTCAAGGAGAAGAAGAATATTAAAGATGTAGTCAGATTCTGATGCATAATGCAATGCTGTTTTGCCATAATAATCTCGTATATTTGCATCACAGCCTTTATCTAATAGGCGTGAAGCAATTGGCCAACATGAAATCTGTGTTGCAAAATGGAGGGCGGTGCTTCCCTTGTAGTCTTGTAAATTGAGGTTGACCTTCTGTTGCAGTAGCAACATTACTCTTCCAATTTCCTTTGACTGAACAGCAAGGTGAAGTGCTGTCATCCACCTCCAATTCTGTGCATCCATATCTGTCTGGTGTTCTAGAAGCAGCTTCATAATGTCAAGGACATTTTGCGGTAGAGGGCATTGTGCAGCATAGTGTAAAGGCGTTTCTCCATAGTTAGTCAATTGACTCGCATTTGAGCCATTTTCAAGAAGCAACCTGACAATCTCCTTGTTCTGCTTCTCAATTGCCAAGTGGAGAGCTGTTCTACCTTCAAGATCTTGTTGATTAGTATCAACATGTGCATTCAGAAGGATTGTAATGGCTTCTGAAAAATGTTTTGGGTTTGGACAATGGGTAGAGCAACGTATCATTATGTATAACAAGGTGTGTCTATTTAATTTATCCTTGTGGTTAACACTCAGTCCTTTGTCTATCAGAAACGCCATAGGCTCAACATCGCCTGTATCCACTGCTGATATAACTGCTTGAAAAAGAGCTGTTCTCCCCCCATTGTCTGTTGTATGAAGAGGAACCTTTTTCACATTAAGCAGATATTCAAGTTTTTCTACTCCAAGAAAGTGTGATCCTGCTGCTGCATGTATAACGGTTTCCCCTTCCGTGTCTAATGCATGAACATTGGCTCCAATTTCACACAAATATTGCACTTTTTCCATATCAGCATGTCTGCAAGCAGCATGAAGTACCGTTTCAGCATAAACAGTATCCCACTCAATGTGCGTGGAGCGTTTTTCCAAACCCATATGTACATCAATCATTTTGCACAATAATCTCAAAGCCTTCAAGTCCCCAAATTCAATTGTTCTGCGAACAAGCTCTTCTTTCAATTCGATTTTAATATCAGTAACCGACTTTAGTACGTGATTAATAATGTCTATGTTTGTGCATGAAGAAAGAGGTGTCCCATTGAAATTGTCCTGCACAGCAATAGATGCTCCTTTATCCATCAGTAGCTTTACACATTCAGTATGGTTGTTTGATACAGCCCAGTGTAATGGGGTCCTCCCAATGAAGTCCGTCGAGTTAACAGGCTTGCCTAATCTCAGCAACATTTGAACACATTTTGTGTTTCCATGTCCGGCTGCAATGTGAAGCAAGGGCCTTTTACCTTCATCAATGGGATTTATGAAAGGAACACTGCTATGTTGTAACAGAGCTTCCAAACAGTCTGCCCCACCATATGCTGCAGCTTGATCAAATGGGTTTTTATAATCTGAAAATATGCTCCATGCAATATATGTATCAGATTCAACTGTAACTGTCTTGTTGAGTTCCAGAATCAGTTTCAGAGCTGATGCATCAACGTGAGCCGATGCTAAGCAGCAGAGGTAATAAGTATCGTTGGCATGATAATTGTTCAGTAGAATCTTCATTATCTTTGTCAAGTTGTCCATGTCGTACGGTTTGAACTGTGGATACGGGTTAGTTGTCTGAAGCTCAAGTAACAGCTGTCTTAAAGAATTTTCAAATATGATGTTGTTTTTTCTCTCATGCTTCAATATATCTGTTAGCAGTTTCACAACAGCATAGTTTCCACAAAGTACTGCCAATGAAAAGTGGCTGTAACTCAACATAGGCACATTATCTGAGTTGTGTTTATACTCGTTTGCCTGTTCATCCCAAACGTTTGTAAATATTCTTTCCGTAGTGTGTGTAGCAATGCCTCTTGCAACGCAAAGAGCGCTGAAGCAGCTCACATTTGGTTTAGCTCCTTGGGCTAAAAGTGTCTCTGTAAGTATGTTACTCCCTACATAGATAGCACAGGGCAAACAACACTGCAACACATCAGTGGTAAGGCTGCACCTTTCCGATAGAATGTTGAACATGATTGTATTTTTAGTAAGAATGAAAAGCTCCAGCAACGTATTGACTTCTAAAATCTGTGTCACATAACATGTGGGTATGAACTCCAAAATTGCCCTTGGCTTTCCAAGTTTATGAGAAACAATATCCCTAACTTTATTTTGAGAAATCCATCTCTCTACTAAGTAATTTACAAATGTTTCATTTCGTAGAGTCGGGTGGTTTAAAATACTATGACCAGTGACCATTTCTTCACTCAGCATCAGTTGAGTTATTCGGTCAGCAAACGCTTCATGATGTTCCTCGTTCAAGAGCACCTGGTTTCTTCTGTTCTCACATTCACCTTCTGATGTTCTGACAAATTCTACAAGTATGTTAGCAGGACACAAGGGAATGTAAATGTCAGGATACACTTGGGAAATGTTAATGAAAACTGCGTCGAATATTGACTGGTGCTGGAAAACGTATCCCTTTCCAGTGTGACACAGGTATACACCACAAAGTGAATCAGCCTTCTGTTTGATGTCATAAAGACTTGGATTTTTGGATAGATTTGAGCCTAATTCTATCAAATAATCTAACCTTTTTTTAAACTCTTGTGGGCTTTTGTGAGGATGAAGATACTTGTTATCAAGATATCCCTTTTCAAATAACACTATCAACAGAACCAGATAGCCAAGCCCATCACTCTCTTGCAAACAGTTTACTTCCTCCAACACATACTCATTTGGTTTTAGGAAAAAAATGACCCTTTGACTCTGTGCTTGCTTACTTCTTGCGAAATAGTGACAACACTGGGGGAATCCAAGTGTTGTCTTTAACTGTACTATCACATTGATCTCCTCTTCAGTAAAGTTCACTTTTGTTTGGCAAATCCTTTTGAGTAACAACTTCTTTTCCTTCGGTCGAAGTGTAAATTCACCTTCATCTAAAGTTAGATGGAACATATGACTGTTAAGTTTGTATTTTTTCAGTCGGGACTGGCATTGGTCACTTATGTCTGGTCGAGATGTCAACACCAGCATTACATGGCCAGATTCAACTGAAGGATGCATGACATCAAACACTCTTGTCCATTCATCAAAACGAGATTCAACAAAATTAGTCGATCCGAAAATGTCATCTATTAGTACGACATAATTATTCGCTGGTTTTCCAGATGCTACATTTTTGGGTTTCTGGGGGATATCTCTCCACTGTTCTGCCGCTGTCAAGACTATAGGTATCCTATGTGTCAACCTTGAGACGTCAGCAAGGAGTCTCAGCCCTAATCTAGATTTCCCAGAACCAGATCGTCCTTTCATAAATATTGCTCCACGGTGTTGCAGATGTTTCAATGCCAACCTCTGTCCAAAAGTTGACACATACACTGATTCATGCTGTGTGATCATTGTCTGAGTTGTTTCTAGAAAAGAAATGATTCAAATAGAGTGAAATCTCAGTGGCATTGTCACCTGTATTTGGACCATCATACATTGTAATGCCAGACCGGAGCATGTCTTGTTACCCTGTCTGGCGCTCGGCATTAAGGGGCTAAAACAAGGACTGGTCGGCTCGGAGTCAGTATACTGTGTCTGAGTGGGGTATTCATGTTAAACTGCGGCATGGTATCTCAGTGAGCTAGCACTATAAATCGGCATCAGTCCGGACTAGTACAAGCAGCCACACAAACACACACACGTACATGCACGTCGCTATATAAGTGCAATAATCTTGGACGCGACGTTAAATCCAATTTCACCTCACCTCACCTCACCGGAGCATGTCACAATAAAAGGATATGTATAGTAATCAGCTTGCTTGAAAGAAACACAAGGATGAAGTCTAAGGTAGGTCAAAGGAGAACTGCGGCCCCTGGATATTGTAATATTATGTTACTTAAGGCTTTGGTAATTGCTATTGGCTTCAAGACTGGCATTGTTATGAATGAAAAATATATGTTATCATTCCAATTATTGCCCTGAAGCTAGAAATGTACCTTCATACATTTTAGCGCAATATATTGAAATCATAAAGTGAGGCAAAGTCGTGCTATGTGCCTAAGGCACCCGTCAATTTTATGATCGTTTCGTTTCACAAGTATTAACAAATTGGTAAATATCCAAGAACTGCTTGAACTCACTCACACAGTTTGCAACTACTCACCACAGATGTTTCTAAAACGTTGATCTGCAATAAAAAAGACAAATCAATAATTCCATTCTATGGCATGACCAGATATGCTGACATGTGAAACATACTTGCAATAAAACATTCATCAACAAATATTTGATGTAATGCCAATACAGAAATACTTATTTGGGGCAATAAACACAAGCAAAATGGTAGTTTTGATGGTAGCAGAAAATAACTTCCCACATGAACAGTCTCTCAATTTTACACATGACATTAATCAAAACCTCCGGACATGGAAGTGAAATTTGTCAAATTTGGTTACGCTACAGAGCATATATTCCTTTGAATGCACTTAATTTAAGTTGTTTGTGTGTGGTTTGATCAAATGTCATTGTGGATTAAAAGTAATATTTGTCAAATGTATAATCTATGTCCTTTGAGTACATGTCTGCCAGACAATATAATGTCAATGACTTGAAGAAAGACCGCAATAAGTAACATCGACTGCAGAAGTATTATGTTCCTACCTATTGTTTCTTGGTCATTTTCTGGTGCTACAGGCTGAGGGTCCGTTTTATTGTCTGGTGTTTTTTGGCTAAATGATGGAGCATGTATGAATGAGAGTCCTTCGCCTGCAGTCGCGACTGAATTTACATGAGTGATATTTGATGTCTCTATGGCTGGAACATTTATCCCTGAAGTCTGGAGGGATGGAACCTGAACATTTGCAAAAGCGTCTGACTTTGGAAGATTGGTTCTGGGGAGATAAGTTTCTCCAGGCTGTTGATTTGGTTGAATGACCTTCAAACCAGAAGACCCAGGGTCAATAACTGTCAAATTAGTTTCTCCAATTTCAATGACTGCTTGGCGGGGTGAGGCTTGATCGTCAGAAGGCAGATTGGCACTTTTGATAGTGTGATCTCTTCTCTTGTTCTCCGCTATGTTAGACTTTCTTCTGTTTAAGTTTCCACTTTCACCAATCAGGTTATCTGTTGTTCTATCTATGTTATCAGTTTCCTCTTGGTGTGTGTCATTAGGGACACTGTGGCCATGTGGTATGAAAGGTGGCCAGGTATCTGTAAGGATACTTTTAGCTCCATAGAGGACAGCTGGTATGACTTGTTGCATAACTCGTTTGAAGGTTGTCTTTTGTGTTCCCTGCAGCTGCGTACCCGTTTCTCCAGTCTCTAAACATGGGGTCTGAATCTCTCCATGACTGGGACGCTTTTCCTCAGGATCACCGTCAGCATATCTCTCGCCTGGCTTGGGTCGTTTCTCGGGTTCACCTGCGCCTTCCTGATCCATGTCAAGTGACTTGTCCATTGTCCTAATCTTGTCGGTTAGTGACCCCAAATGTTCATCCAGCTATATTTTATAACTGCTATAACATATGTCGTCAGTTCTGAAGTAGGAAATAAAAGGGACATCATTACGGTAATCATCATCATCTTCATCATCTTATCATCATAATCATCGACACCTGGATTTGCTCAGAGAATGTTTTGGGATACCATATGTGATTACGTTGGGGATTAAAGCATTTTATTATTTAACTGAAGCATTTATCCATGACATAAGCTTATGACATAAAAATGTATGTCATACCTCAATGACATAAGTATGAGTTGCTATATGGCTGGAATAATGCCGATGCGACGTTAAATTTTAACTCACTCACTCACTCACATAAGTATGCAAATTAGATCTTCAAATTAGATTACCGGAAGTGGGACTTTTTCGCCGGTGCACGTGAGTAGGTGTTTACAAACAACATGGATACCTTTGATGTTGAAGACAATGTTTTAATAGATCAAAGGGGAAGTGCTACAGTGATATCCGTGTTGACAAATGGATATTACAGGTTACAGGTTGATTGTACAGAACTTGAATTTGACTGTGATGAAGGCAGATTATCAAAACTTCTCTGTAGCCAACGTTTCATCATCAAAACGCCATCATCGAGCATGGCGAAGCAGACGACGAACACAAAGCCTAAAGATGCCAAAGGGAGATTTGTGGCTGTTGAGGACGGCATGGTCGATGGTGTGATCCTAGACAATCAAAACAAAAACGCAGCAAAAAACTTTGTACGATTTGAAACTGTTCGTTAACTTTCTAAAAGTCCAATATGAAATTCGCCAAATGCTTGAAATCCCCCAAAACGAACTTGACACGCTTCTCTGCAACCTTTTCATTAATGTTCGAAAAACAAATGGGGAAAATTATGAACTAAACAGTCTCACGGGTTTTCTGAGCAGCATCGAGACATCACTAAAACGAAGGGGGTATGGCTATTCACTCACGTCATCTTTAGAATTTTCACGATCACGGGAAGTGTTAAAGGGCAAAAAAATGAACTGAAGAAAAAAGGGCGCGGCAACTTACCAAGGAGAGCCGACCCGATTGGTGATGAAGAGATGGAGTCCCTGTGGCAGTCCGGATCCATTGGAATCAGTAATCCAATGAGCATAATAAACTGTCTAGGGCTCTACAACACAATCCATTTCGGGTTAAGAGGTGTTAATGATCACAACAACATGTGTTCGGGGGACATCACGTTGAATGTTGATGGAGACGGTCACGAATATCTTGAACTGTGCATGAGACAAGAAAAGAATAGGTCCGGTGAGAAACCTCGTGATTGTCGCGACGTATGACCCAAAATTTGGTCTAATGTTGCTGATCCCTCTCGGTGCCCTATGCAGGTGTATATGTTGTATGCCTCCACGCGTCTTCTTTTGAGATGACGATCCTTTTTACATCGGCACACACGCTTTCAGTATGCCTTAACCTGGCGACCAGTAGTTTATCCGCTATCGTATTGGGAAAAACAAACTTTCCTCTCTCATGAAAAACATGTGCGATGCCGCCAGTCTCCACACATCGAAATGACTCACAAATCACTCTGCGCGCAAACACATTGTGCAAAAGTTGAATGAAAATAATGTTCCGCCTAATCAAATAATGCAGATAACTGCCCACACAAACATCCATTCTGTGAACAATTACTGCCATATTAATCCTGACCAGCACAAGCAAATATCAAACATCATTTCACGAAACACTCAATTCCACACCCCAACATCGATATCCCAGCTTATTGATGAAACTCGCGTCATGCAGAGCGGCCCCACGCGTAATGTCCAAATCGATAGTAGACAACAGTCAGCAGTCTCAAGTATTAAATGTTTCTGGTGGTGTCAAAACTATGTTTGCTGGCAACATTACTGGTGGAAACATTAGGATTAATCTCGTTAAACCTCCAAGCCCGGTCCCAGTCAAAAGACACCGGATTGTCATCGAAAGTGATGGTGACAGGACTAATGCATCTACTCTGACCTCTCCTCCGCGGGGATTCTTCAAGTGAGAGAGCGGTTTGATTTGAAACTATATATAATTGAAGGCACACCAGAGATATCATCAGATTACACAGAATCGTTGTTGTTACCGTTAATTATTTATTATGTACCGTTTCAGTTATTCTGCAAATGCCTGGTCAAGTATTTTGTTTAAAATAATCCGAGGAACTTTTTCTCTCAGCGAAAGAATATGCCATAAAGGAGTTAAGAGGTTGTTTATTTTGGTTCACAGTAACGTCTCACAGCTATGGAAACATGTATCACTGCGCATGATCTACACATCAGATTTCGAATGGTTGCTGATGTAAATGTTAATTCAATTATTCTTTAAAAGGGAGGCAAAAGTGAAAATGATAAATAGAATACATCACTCGTGTTTTTTAATATCGGAAATATCAACCTCGACCCGTTTATCGGTATTTAAATACCGATTAACTAAGGCTCGGTTTATATTTCCCACATTAAAAAAAAGCACTCGTCATGAGTCCTCTATATTAGTATTAAGATACCAATTGTTGGGTTTACGTACCTCCAGATCTAAACATTGAACTATAGTTGTTTTCATCCTGTTAACCCACTAAATTTGTTGAGGTCACTTTCGGTAAGCAACAATATAGGTCAAATGTTACATAATGATTTAGTTTTAAGTCCTAAGATTGTTTTTTAGCCATGAACATCAACAAACTATTTACTGATGTATAAATTTAATAACAAAGTCCTCATTATAAAGGAGATCGAAACGTGACTCTTCCGTGTGTAGTGGCTGGTAAACATGTCATGTGTAAGTCTAAGCAACAAAACCGTTTGCCATAATCATAAGAAATATCTACTGAAAGCAAAATCCATTTTGCGATTCTGACTACATTATACGCACGAGTGCATGAACCTAAATGACCTGAATAGCGATTGTACCGGGTATTTGCGAATAGGTGAGGGTACCCTGTCTCACGAGTGAAAATGAACATATGTTACAAATCAAAATAGGAAATGGCATCATACGTCATATTTGTCACTGTTATGTCAAATTTGAAAATGTCTCCCACAAGAGCCCTATGACACCATGCTTGAATATTGCTCGACATAAAGGAATGTTGACTTACATAAAGGAAAGTTGAAGTGCAACTTTTTGTCATACTGTCTTCTGGAGAGGTCACCCTGAGTGCATAGATGTAAGTATGAAACAAATAAGTATGTTTCACTAGTCTCTTTTCTTTCAAGCTCATGTGAGTAAATCAGTAGAATGTAATTGGCTATTAATCATTCTTAAGTGATTCCAGGTAGTCGATATGCCTGAAAACCCTTTCCATATTAATAAAGAAATCTCTGCTAAAAGCAGTCGACTGCACCATTCCGTTCAGGTTAACTGTTTCAGTGTTCAGGTTAACTGATCCACTATTCAGGCTGTCATGTTAACTGATCCTCTGTTCCAGCTTACTGTGTCACAGGTCAGGCTATTCAGGTTAACTGATCCAGTTTTCCAGCTTACTGTGTCACAGGTCAGGCTGTCCAGGCTAACTGATCCAGTGTTCCAGCTTACTATGTCACAGTTCAGGCTATTCAGGTTAACTGATCCAGTGTTTCAGCTTACTATGTCACAGGTCAGGCTGTCCAGGTTAACTGATCCAGTGTTCCAGCTTACTATGTCACAGGTCAGGCTGTCCAGGTTAACTGATCCTCTGTTCCAGCTTACTATGTCACAGGTCAGGCTGTCCAGGTTAACTGATCCAGTGTTCCAGCTTACTATGTCACAGGTCAGGCTGTCCAGGTTAACTGATCCAGTGTTCCAGCTTACTATGTCACAGGTCAGGCTGTCCAGGTTAACTGATCCTCTGTTCCAGCTTACTATGTCACAGGTCAGGCTGTCCAGGTTAACTGATCCAGTGTTCCAGCTTACTATGTCACAGGTCAGGCTGTCCAGGTTAACTGATCCAGTGTTCCAGCTTACTATGTCACAGGTCAGGCTGTCCAGGTTAACTGATCCTCTGTTCCAGCTTACTATGTCACAGGTCAGGCTGTCCAGGTTAACTGATCCAGTGTTCCAGCTTACTATGTCACAGGTCAGGCTGTCCAGGTTAACTGATCCAGTGTTCCAGCTTACTATGTCACAGTTCAGGCTATTCAGGTTAACTGATCCAGTGTTTCAGCTTACTATGTCACAGGTCAGACTGTCCAGGTTAACTGATCCACTGCTGCCCTGTTAATGTTAACTGATCTTCTGTTCAGGTTAACTGATCCACTGTTTCAGCTTACTGTGTCACAGTTCAGGCTGTCAAGGTTAACTGATCCACTGCTGCACTGTTAATGTTAACTGGTCTTCTGTTCAGGTTAACTGATCCACTGTTTCAGCTTACTATGTCACAGGTCAGGCTGTCCAGGTTAACTGATCCACTGCTCCACTGTTAATGTTAACTGATCTTCTGTTCAGGTTAACTGATCCACTTTTTCAGCTTACTGTGTCACAGTTCAGGCTATACAGGTTAACTGATCCACTATTCAAGCTTGCTGTGTCACAGTTCAGGATGTCCATGTTAACTGATCCACTGTTTCAGCTTATTGTGTCACTGTTCAGGCTGCTCAGGCAAACTGTTCTACTGTTCAGGTTAACTGTTCAACTGGTAAGGTTAACTGTTTAACTGGTAAGGTTAACTGATCCACTATTCAGGCTGTCATGTTAACTGATCAACTGTTACAGCTTACTGTGTCACAGTCCTGTCTATTCAGGTTAACTGATCCATTGTTCCAGCTTACTATGTCACAGGTCGGGCTGTTCAGGTTAACTGATCCACTGCTGCACTGTTAATGTTAACTGATCCTCTGTTCATGTTAACGGATCCACTGTTCCAGCTTACTGTGCCACAGTTCAGGCTATACAGGTTAACTAATCCACTTTTCAGGCTGTTCATGTTAACTGATCCATTGTTCCAGCCTACTGTGTCACAGTTCAGGCTGTCCATGTTAACTGATCCACTGTTCCAGCTTATTGTGTCACTGTTCAGGCTGCTCAGGTAAACTGTTCCACTGTTCGGGTTAACTGATCCACTGT